GGCTGGGCCAGGGCAGGACTCAGGTTTGCTGGGATGTCACTGCATTTTTTCTGTCCTTGCTGCCTCGAGTCCCTTTCTCATTAGTAGCACTAATTGCTCGTTGCATGTGTTGCATATGTTCGTGTTTTGGAACAGCTCGTTTTTGCATCCTGTAATTAAATGACCACTAATGAACATGGTAGAAAGAGGAGCAGCCAAACAAGATCATGCTTGTGAGAGAGCTGGATGTATGGACTCCTCCACCAAGGGAAAGGGGGTGGTGGGAACCAGGGTGTCTGGGAAGCAGAGAGTTCCAGAGTCCCACAAAGAAGGGCTGTGCATGGAAGGGGTGTTTTGTTTGCCCTGGGGTCCATCAGTGGGTGAGTAGATCAGTAAAGCTGTGCCACCAGCACAGTCACTGCTCTGCAGTGGACAACTGGGAGGGCAGATTTTGGGAGCCACCTGTGAAGGGAACAAGTGGCTTCATGAACACACCTGGGGTCTTGCCATTGCAGCACGAGGGACAAGGTTTGGTGAGGTTTGGGGCCCAGCCTTGGGTGCACAGGGACAGCAGGGGACAGGCTGGACAGGGATGGTGGCACAGGGAGACCTCCACCCACTGCAGGTGGAGCACTGGGGCTCCCACCCCACTCCTGGCAGACCTTTCCAAAGGTTTGAGGTCGTTTTCAGAGGAAAAGGGCAATGAAACCCCACATTCCCCTGCTAAAAAAATGCATGTGCTCTGCCCTGGAGCTGTTTCTGGTTGCAGGGGTGAGGAGTTTAGCTCAATACTGCAAGAAGCTCTGGCCTTGAGCTAAACCAACCTGCTCAGGCACCCCCTGCTCATCCCTCCCTGCAACGTGGTGCCTGTAAAACCCAGAAATCAAATCAACATCATCTCACACGAGCCACTGGGACATGGGATATTTTCATCCCTGAAATATCCCGAGGGGTTGAGGTTGTGGAAGGCAACCAAAGGGGACCAAGAACCCCTCAGCTTGTCTTTGAATACTGGCGATGCCACCACCAGGCTTTGGGAGACCCTTGGGAAGCCTGCTGGAGCCTCCCTGGGGTGGCAGCACCCTGGGAACAGGCAGGACCCTCAGCTCTGTCCCAGTGATGGCTTCAAGAGAAAGGTTTGTCTTTTCCATCCAAGAGATACAGCAGAGCCTCTGCCAGTGCCACGTCTCAGTGGAACCAGTTCTCAGTTTTCCTCCTGCCAGGAGCTTTACAGGCTCATGATTCACGTCTTGACAGCAGCTTTGGGAGGAAAATGTGCTTCTCACCAGGCAGGCCTTCATGCACGTCAAGATGCCATAGTTTTTCCAGACTTTCCAAAGGAAGCCACAGCCAAGTGAGACATTCCTGCTCCTCTTCCAGCTTGCTTGGAACAACCTTCTTTGATTAGGGAGTGAGACAGATAGTTGGAAAGACAGACAAGTCAGGCAGTAGGGTTATAATAAGCAGTTTGCAAAAGCTGCAGCCTCTGGTGGGATGGTACCTCCATCTGCCTCTCACTGGTGGCTGGTAAGAGCCCCTGATGTTTGCCATGGTCACCAATCCCCTGCCCTACTCCATGATCCTGGATGACCTACCCTTTTCCACAGTCCTCAACCCCTGCCCTCCTCTATGGTCCCAAACCCCCTGTCCACCTTGATGATCCTCAACTCCACATCCTCTTCCATGGCCCTGTCCTCTTCCATGATCCTCAACCCACTGTCCTGCTGGTCTCAAACCCCTTGGCATCCTCCAAGGTCCCAGCCCTCTGCTCAGTCCCCTGCCCCTTCCCTCTGCCACGGCCCTGGAGCCAGGTGATGTGCCAGAGCCCCCGTGGGGGAATCACAACCAGCTTTGTGCCTGAGAGGGGGTTGGATTTTGTCTCCCCCACTGAGCCTGGCAGGGCCCCCAGCAAGGAGGGGAAGAGGGGAACTGCCACAAAGGGGGTTTCAAGAGCATCTCCTGGTGTGGGAGGGAGCAAGGATCTGTCCCACCAGGGAGGACTGTGCTGCCCTGAAGCACAAAGCACAGGAGGTTGGGTTCACTTTGCCTGTTTATTTTTCTGCCTATGACACAGGGTGCCAGGTTGGGAAAAGTGACCAAAGAGCTTGGGGGTGGGTGGCAGGTTCAGCTCAAGGGACAGGTACAAGGTGCAGGAGGTGGGAGCTCCTGCCTTGCTCCCTGCAGCTGCAGCCTCTCAGCCACCCCAGCCCCAGCAGGAGAAACAGAACAAGCATCTCCAGGGGAGTGTGTTTGGAAAATACCAGGTTTTATTAGACAGGCTGATGTTCAAGCTGACAGTTTTATCCCAATGCACACGATCATGGGCATCTACACCGGCCTGTGTCCCAGCTCCCTCCCTCCTGCCATGCTCTCAGGCAAGACACTCTCCCCCCCACCCCAGTGCCTGGGAGAGCAAAAAGAGAAGTCTCCCTGCTTTCCCATTTCCACTCCCAGATTCCCAGAGCTCTCCTAGAAAAGCTCAGGGAGAGCTGGGCTGGGTATTGCAATCCTCTTGGGACTGACAGCCACTTGGATCCATGGGAGAGAAAACTTATCAGTGTCAGGGTGCATCCCAGAGAGCAGCAAAGCAGCCCCATCTGCCATGGGCTGGGAAAGGGAGCCCTGACCTAGAATATCCAGGGGGAAAAAGGGTTCTGGCTGTCACAGAGGAGCCACATCCAGGACACAGGCACCAGGGCTTGTGGATGCTGAAAGGAAAGGGGAAGAGGAGGCAATGAGTGCTGGAGGGTACAGAGAAAGAAAAGGAAAACCCAGAAGGGATGGGGAGAAGGATGGGAGAGGCCTGAGAGCAGAGCACGGTGGGTTCAGAGCCTGAAGGGAGCATCGGGGCTCCTTCCTGGGATGAGGAGATCTTTCCCTGGGTACTCCCGAGCCCATGGGCTTTGTGGGGACCAGGGCAGCAAAGAAAGAGATGGCATGATGCGGCGCTTGCAAATGGAAACATTTGGTGGCTTTTGCTTGCCATGCCAGTGACACGTGGTGACAGCAGGAGCAGTGACAATATGAGCCCATTTCTGGCCGTGTTTCTCTTCCATGAGCTTTTCAGCAAACCACAGTGGAGCAGAGAGAGAGGCAAGGAGTGGGTGGGACAGAGCTGATGAGCAACAGGATCACGTACAAGAAAGAAGAAGGAACAGCAGGGGAGGGGGCAGCAGCTCTGGGGCAGGTTTGAGACCTCGTGGTGCTGACTCAGGAGCACATCACTTCTCCCCAGGCTGCTCTGGGTGTCTCTGACACTCTGCTTGCCTTCCCTTGGACCTCTGGTCCCCTCTGTGCTGTGGGCAAAATCCCTCTGCACCAGCCACGCCCCTTCCCATGCTTGGACGTAGATTTGGGTCTCAACTTCATTAGTCCAAAGGTAGGGTCCTACCTTGAAGCAGAGGAAATGAGCACAGAATTCCCTGGGGCAGCATCCCCACAAATTCTCCTGGACTTGAGGGGACCTCTCCTTTGCAGCACCTCACCTCAGTGCCGGGGGACGTGGAGCTCCCATGGACCTTCTGCCTGGGCTCATGTCCCATTGGGCACGTGGAGACAAGAGGCACAGCCCTTCACACCCTTCCCATCACAACAGAGCCTTCCATTCCCAGCTTTCTCTTT